TTAGCTTCCCCTGAGCGTCACCCCATGAAGCAGGCAGCACAGCACTCATTAGCTCCATTAGACAGGGCCGAAAACTGAGGCTAGGGGAGGTTCAGGGACTTGCCCTAGATACCAGGCTGTGAGGTGGACGAGCGGGGCCTCCTGGCCACATTCCCAGTGCTTCCCTCAGTGAGGTCCTCAGGTGTCCTCAGGTCACAGGCATCCCCGGGAGGCAGTGAATACACCAAAGCCTAGTGTGACCCACCTGTCGGTGTCCTGCCCCCTCTTGGGCACTTGCTACCTTTCCCTTCTGAGCAGAGAAACCAGGCCCAGGCTCCCTTTTTGCAGGCCAGGGGTATCTGGCTAGAGTTAATGGTTTCATTTTCATCATTTGTTTTAGTGTTGCTTTCTGTTTATGATAAATGATACTTTTTTATTCATGATAGTGACATAAAGATTCCTTTGAAAATTTTGGAGTTTGAGGAAAAAAGTGCCTTGACTTAAAATACTAAATAAATAGGAGTCCAGGTGGTTCTTGGCTGTGACAGGACTCAGGAAGGTGTTGGGCAGATGCTGCCCTTCAGAAGGCCTCACTGAGTCTGGGGTGCAGGCCAGCTGGAGACACGTACTGGACCAAGAATCTTCACAGAACCCACGGCTGAGGAACACCAACAGCTGACATATAATCCAGAAACTCTGGAGAAACTGGCCCGGACACTGGCTTCCATCAGGAACCTGGACCCAGGCAGACAGGCAGGATCTCCTTTCCCACCCCTTCAGGCCACGCGCTCGTCAACCGGACAAGGCAGAGGCCTTCCTGTTGCGTGGCCCGGCGCTGAGACGGCAATGGAGACAGTGGGCAAGTCATATCTGGGTGACATCTGCCTTTAGCCACTTTAATTGGCTGGTTGGTACGTTGAGAAAGAGGAATAGCCATGGGCGTCCAGCTGGCAAGGTCTTTGGAGGAGGAAAGGGCTGCCCCTTTCAGAAGGCCCCCTGCACTGAGGAGACCCCCCGCCCCTGCCCTGTGTGTTTTCTAGGTGGGGACATGGAGGGGAGGGGCCGTGTGTACTGGGTATTGCAGGCATTCCACCAACACAATTTCATATAATCCTCGTAACAAACAGCCAGATGAGGTAGGCATTGTTTCAGGTGGGGGCACAGCTCCAGGGAGACTAGGTGACTTGCCTGAGGTCACACAGCTAGGAAGGGGCAGAGCCAGAATGACTCGAGATGGGCCAATTCCAGACCTTGCCCTGGCTACCCCATGGGAGCAGGACAGTGGGACGGCCCAACTGCAAAAAGAATCCTCTTCCAGCAGGTCCAGAGCATCATCCCACCAGCACCTTTAAGACACAAGGTCATTTTCTCCCTTAAGCCAAACCAAACTAGGCAGCTTCTCCACAGGGGTATCCAGCTGAGACATTGCTTCTTAAAATGGATCAAGTGCCCAGCTGTCATTCTGATGACAAACCAGTCAGCCAGCCACTCCTTCTGTCCAGCTCTGGGGAGTGGCCTGGAATGAAAGGTTACAGTTTCAGAAAGAAAGAAAAACAGCCAAAGCCAATAGCTGGTGAGTCATGCTCTAAGGATGTTAGGAGGTTGGAGAACCCAGTGCCTGGACTCTTAAGCTGCAGCCTCAGGATGCTTCTCAGCCCGGGGCTTCTGATGCCCAAGGAAAGAGATGAACTAGATGCTGAGAGGAACTGAGATAGACGTGGCGTCAGACCACAGAGGTTCAAACCCTGGCTCTGCCATGAGTTTTTGAGCTGTGTGACGTTGCTCAGTCACAAGCGTAACCTCTCTGAGCCCCATCTGAAATTCAGGGATGATGGTCCTCCTTGGCCCCGCCTCCTAGGGTTGTTTTGAGGAATAAACGAGCTAAGCCATGAGTTAAAGCAGATAGTACAAGGTAAGCACAGGTACTTGATAAATGTCAGCTGGTTTGCTATGAGACCAGACCTGTAATCAAAGGAGAAAAGGGATTGACCTTTAACAGCCATGGTGTGTAGCACAGAGGAGAGGACCCAGGACATCCTCCAGCCACAGATACAGAGGCCTGGGGCCACATCTCTGTCCTCAGTGTGCTGTGTGGCTTAGGGCAGGTCACCGCCCTCTCTGGGCCCCTTCATTCTCTGTGGAGTGACCAGCTCAGATCAGGGTCTCCTAAACCTCATATGACACCATCAACAATTTCTGCTCTATCTGCTCGTTGCCTGAACAGTTACTTATGCAGTTATTGTCTTTAAACCGGAGGCTTTTTTTAAAGTGAAATTAATGATGTGGAAAAAGAGGAACTTTATAGTATTACTATCAAAAATGGAAAACTGGCATCATTCGCCATAAATAGAGGTGACCCTACAGATAAACAATGAGAACGAGAGGGCGTTAGTGAATTCCAGCTGGAGCCGGCACCTGCAAGGCTCTGCACCTGTTCCCATCGGAGGTTAGCACGTGTGACAGAGTCACGCCAGCCAGACTGACGCTTGCCTGGGACTCAATGCTGTTTGCTATCACGAGCGTTGGGAGGGGAGTGAGTCCCTGTTCCAAGGGGTGGTCCCATGTTCTCTAACAGCCCTTTCGCCCAAGTCTGAGATGAGCTCAAGTACCATCCCATGCCTTGGGGAGTGCGCAGTGAGCCCTGGTAATGCTGTATCGGAATAAACAGTTCTGCTCCAGTTTCCTGGATGCCAGTGCTCTCGGCAGCACCACTGCTGACCCCAACAGGGAAGCCCAGAGTCTCCTTGGAGGAGGGAGGTCAGCCAAAGGTGGGCTCCTGGCAGGACAGGAGGGGAACCCACGAACAACTTTCTGGAGGGCCGAGCTCTCTGATGCTCTGGTTTAGCCCCGGCTTCCCCTCCCGCCTACCAGGTCCAGTGGGGAGACCGGATGGGGCCCGAGGATGAGAGGACTTGCGTGTGTCATCAGTGGGAGCCGAGGAAGATCTCTGAGCAGTGGAAGGGCACGTTCCTGGCTGACACTAGGGATGAATCTGGCAGAGGACGCAAGAAACTTGGCCGATTTGGCCCCTGCTCACCTCTCCAGCCATGTCTCCCCCATGGCCAGCCTTCAACCCCTTACTCTCCACCCCAAACCAAACTACAGGAGGTTCCAGGACCTGATCACCAGCCCTCCCTCTACCTGGCATGTCCTTCGTGCACAGCCTTCCCCAGACTCTGGGCTCCATCCGTCTCCTGTGCTTCTTTCCAGCGTCAGTGTGTTAACTTGGGCTAAAATTGCTCACTAGATTGTGTGTCAAAGGCAGAGGCTGCACTCATCTTAGGGTCCCCAGTGCTCAGCTCAGGACATGGCACACAGGAGGTATGAGATTATGTAGTGTTTAAGATCTCCAGCAGGACAAAGCCCTGGAGAGCTGAGCATCCTTAGACAAGTTTCTTACCCTCTCTGAACCTTAGTGTCTTCATCTGTAAAATGGAATCATTATAGTACCTAACTCCTGGGGTGTTGGGAGGGTTGAACGAAATGGCCTTTGTAATGCTCCATCTCAGGCATGCTCTCCGGGGAGCAGACCCTGGGACGAGGGTTCAAGTGAAAATTGTTTACTTGGGAGGTGATCCCAGGAACTACTGGTGGGGAGGGGGGCAGTGAGACAGGGAAGGGATGTGTCGTCTAGCAGGTTACCACCTCAGCCCTGGGCTCAGTCCTGCTCAGGAGCTCTGGGAACCAGTGTAGATGGAGAATATGCCTCAGAGTCATCCCAGCTGCTGGGTGAGAGAGCTGGGGTATTGATCCACCAGCTTTCTGGCCGTTACTGGTTGGAAGGCAGCTGTGGGAAGCTCTGCCTGCCCTTGCAGCCTGGGGCCCAAGCAGGCTCTAGAGGTGGAGAGACCTCAGGCAAGGAGGGGTGTCCCTGCAGGTGGAAGCTGCCAGGTCAGTCGGCCTCGGGAGGGTGAGTGGAGGAAACGGGGTGAGGCACCCGTGCTCTGCCTAGGGCTCGTGGCACACAGTAAAAGCTCAGGAAGTGGCAGCTGCCCTGACTGTGATTGTCTGCATCGCTGTCACTAGTCCACCGCCAGCCCTGCTTGTCACAGTTATGCAGCTTTGGCTTCTCTGAACCTCTGTTTCTTAGCCTATAAAATGGGGAGATTCATGGTTCTCAGTGGAAGCAGTTCTGCCCCATTGGGTGGCCCCTGGAAATGGGGTGAGGGGGCATTTTTAGTTGTCACAGGGACTGGGAATGCTACTGGCACTTAGCAGTCAGCGACCAGGGATGCTGCTAAGCCTCCTGCAGTGCCCCGAACGGGTCCTCCCCCGCCCCCACCTCTTCAGAGGATTGTCCTGCCCCCAATAGCAGCAGCGCCTGATGAACAGTAATACACGCTGTGTTTAATGTATACGTTTTATCTGATGCTCGATGACATTTGCAGAAGTAAGCTGAGCTGGCAGAGGTGAGGCTTAGAACTGGGGCGGGACTTGTGGAGGCTGTAGGGAGGGTGGGCGTGGGAATACGAGATGCTGCAAACATATTAGCACCCGGCTGGACCTAGAGACAGAAAGGGACAGTAAGTGAGGACGTGCGGGGAGCCAGGCGCTGGGGATGATGCCGCGTCCTGGGAGAACGAGCCAAGTGGGGCTGCTGAGTAGCTTGGCTGTGGCCACAGCCTTCCTGTAGGCTGCGAAGCATCTTCCGGGCAAGGTGGGAGCTGCCGCCAAGCCCTGCCCACTCGCCAGAGCTGACTCAGCTGCCCTAGAGCTCAAGTAAGCCAGCAGACCCCGGGTGACCCTGGAGCAGGCTGCCCTCCTTTGTCAGGTCCCAGGATCCCCCTCCTGGGGATTATCTCCCAAGATAGTGACAGTCCTTCCTCTCCCAGGTGAAACTGCACCGCTTCTCCAGCCTAGGGTCCTTAGAAATCGGACACACTCATAAAAATTTTTTAATAAAAAATTATAGGACCTCACCCCCAGCCTGAAGTTTCTGGTGGTTCCCCAAATTCGAGCCTCCAGTTGGGTGGTGGGGCGGTGCTTCTGTGCTGGTAACGCCCCTCTGTCCCTCTTGTTAGGCCTGCTCCCCTCGAAAGCCCTGTGCCAACAGAGAGGTGCCCGTCCAGACCCAGGATGGTGGGACACAGAGATTGAGACTGGGTGCCGAGGTCCGGAAGGCACGCGCCCCTGCCCAAAGGGTAAGGCAGGGGCGCCCGGAGACCTTGCCCGCCTGCAGCGTCGCGCAAACGGCCTTGCCTTGGCTTCCGAGCTTTCGCCGTTGCAATGGATGTTTACAGGAACCCAGCCAGAGTCTGCCTCCCTGCTCTTCACCCCCGGCTGCATCTGCTTCTCCCACTTAATCTTCAGAGCGGACATTTCACACACAAAAGCGACTCCCAGCTCTGTTTGGTGCCAGTGGAGCTCTAAGCCCAACGGGGTTTGGCCCGAGGCCGGGCTTAGATGCAGCCATTGTTTCAGAGAGTGACTCAGAGGAAAAGAAGAACACCTGGGGGACCGAGGGTGGGGTTTTGACTCATTCATTTCAAATTGTTTGCTCTCCATCAAGTTGCCAGAACTGATACATTGCACCGGGGACAGTGCTCCTCCAGCCAGAAATATTTTTCGAAAATGTGAGTGGTATGAATACTTGACTTCGATAAACCTGTAAAAGCAATACTTAGGAGGCTAACTTCTTTCAATTAAAAAAATGTATGCAACTCCAACCCCTGGGGCCCTGCGGGGGTGGGGGGTGTTTGCTTTGTTCTTTTCCTTTGAGATTCCGGAAAGGAGTCCTCATGGAGAACGTCATGGTTGAGAAAGGGCAGAAGGGTCAGGGCCTCCCCAGTTGGAGATCCAGTGGGGTTTGGAGAGTCTGTCCAAGCTGCGTTGGTGTCGGAGTCCCAACCCGGCCCCCTCCCGGCTTCCACGAGCCTGACAAGCAAGGGCCCACCTTGGTTGTGGAGGGAAAGTCCTGGTGGCCAAGCTGAAAATCAGGCCTGAATCCCAGAGCAGTCGGAGGTGGGGATCCCCTGTGCTGGGCACATGGTAGATCTCCCCTAAAGATGAGGGGAGTGGGCGGGTGAGGGAAGGAGCAAACGAACGACTGAAGTTGGGTCCACGTGCAGTAATTCTCCCCGTTTGCAGAACAGCTGATGCTTTTCAAAGTACCTTCACGTATATACTGTGTTGAACAAGGAATGGGTGGTCAGCTCCATTCTACAGGTGAGGAGACCAAAGTGTGGGAGAGGAAAGGTCCAGCAGAACTCAAGAGAAGGCAGTTACATACCACCTGTCCTCATGTGATTCTAAGAAGGGTTGCTAAGGAATGTGAACTGGAAGACATTCAAGACAAAGGGGAGCAGGAGAAGGGAGACATTTCTTTGGGAGAGAGGCCTGAGGGGAAAGGCAAGGGTTTAAAAGGTGCATGGCCTTGATGTCCACTGAACGTGGAACCATGCCGTCAATGGACAGTGTGTCTCCAGACGTCAGCTGCCTTGATTCCTCTGGGCCTCCCTTCTCCCACCCAGCAAATGGGGAGCAATTCCAGCATTTGCCTGCAATTCCGGTGCCTATGCCTGCAGAGTGACCCTCCAGAGAAGTCAGAAGTGGAGTTTGTATCTTGACTCCCTCTTTTACAGGAGTGTGACCTTAGGCAAGTCACATCTGTGAAGTGGGGACAGTCATTTACCCACCTCATAAGATGAATTTGTGTTAATGACAAAGGTGCCCCTCTGGGCAGACACTGCTCCACACCAGGACTCACAGCTTGGCAAGCAGAGCCCAGACTGGATTGCAGACCCCATTTGCTCCCATGTCCAGGCGCCTTGTGCAGTGCACAGACTGCCCAACCACACCCGACAGCCCTGCCCAGGGAGTTTTTTAAACTTACTAGAATGCAAGATTTAACAGAGCAGGGACCTTGAGCATTTTATTGAGTACACCACGGTGTCACTATATATTTGTGGCATGAATACAGCAAATAAAGAAAGCAAAATTGTGGTGAGAATTATCCGTTCATTCCACAAACATTTATTGAGCCCTTACTATGTGCAGGCCCCTTGCTGGGTGCAGAGGGTGCCTCTGCACAGCAGTGAACAAACAGGTTACCTGCACTCTTGGAGCTCACATCCTAGGACTAGAGCAGACAACACAACAAATAAGTGTGAAAAAGATAAACTAGTGACGGGATAGGCCGGGGGAGGGGTGTCTGCATTTACTACCGTCCCGAGGAGCTGTCCTTTAAACTGAGTCCTGCAGGCCATGTGAAGAGCTGGGAAAACATTCCAGGCAGAGGTGAGAATGAAACACACGGATGTGTGTAATAATGACAGCCCACACGTAGGGAACTGGATGCCAGGCTCTTGTTCTCAGCATATTTGCTCATTGAATCTCCACGTAACCCCATGAAGAAGGTACTGAGATTATGCCCATTTTACACGTGAGGAGACGGAGGCACAGAGAAGTAATTTGCACAAGTGAGTGGTGAGCTGGACACTGAGCCCAAGCAGTCTAGCTCTAGAGTCTGAGATGCCTGACCCTACGCCGTGGTCCCTCTTGGTAGGGGGGAGGGGCCCAGCACTTTGGCACAAAGTAATAATACGTGCTAACATTTATTGAGCACTTACTGTGTCCCCTGTGCTGTGATAAGCACTTTACATGTATCAACTCATTTAATAAGTGGTAGCTATCATTTAAAGTCATTACTATGAATAATTACAGCCTCTGACCTCATTGTATCACCTCTGAACAGACCAAAAGCAGTGGGGACAGTTGTGCCCACCCCGCCTGGCTGAAGGGCGCCGCAGATGCCTGGATCAGGAGGAGACTGTCTTCCTGTGACTGCACAAGTGGGAGTTCTGTGGACTCTACAAGGTCCACAAATGCAGGCACACCCTGAGGGGTGATGGCCCAGCTACAAGGCCTGATGCCCTTAGCCACTGGGCCAAGGCGGAAGGCACTACCTTTCTGCGAGGATTGCCAGCGGGGCAGCGGGGTCAGAATCCCTCTGACCCTCCCAACCCCCAACACCCACTTACTGGGAAGAGGAGGAGAGTTTGAGGAACCAGGCATCAGGGCTGGTGCACTGGAGCACAGACAGCTCCCACAGCCACCAGCAGAGGGCCAAGTTGTCCCAAATCAGGGCTTCTGACCGAGCCAGCCGTGCCCCAGTGGAAAACAACAACAGGCGACCTGGCAGCTCTCAGCGTAGACAGCAAAGCTGCCAAGTCCCTTCCAGGCTTGCCGTGGCCAGGGCCGGATTCCAGCTCAGCTAAGAAGCGACTCCCAGGGTAGAGCAGAGGATCCGAGACAGAGGAAAACACTCTGCAAGGCTCACGGTGCTTCAGCCTTGCTGACCCCCAGATAATGAATTTTCCAATGAATGGTAGGAAGCCATAGAGAAAATCCTTTCCCGAAAGACAGGACTTGAGCCGAAGTGGACTCTGCTGTGTGTGTTGGGCTGAGGGGGGTGGGGAGGGCAAGAGAGCAAGGGCCTCCGTCAACTCGCCGTAGAATATGGCAGAAGTGATGCTGTGTGACAGCTTCTAAGGCTGGGTTACAGAAAGGGCAGGGCTGTTCCCCATGGTCTCGGTCTCCTCTGCCCCTGCAGCCTCTCTTCCTCTTGGGGTGATCACCCTTCAACGCAGCCACCATGCTGTGAGGAAGCCCAAACTCGCCCACAGGGAGAGTCCCCCTGCCACTTCCTTAGAGGAACAAAGGCCCCCAGCCGCTGGGCAGCATCGGGTGCCAGACATATGCGTGACTGAGCCTCCAGACAACCTCAGCCGACACTGAGTGGGGCAGAGACGCGCTGTCCCCGCCAAGCCCTGCCCAGAGACAGGTGTGTGAGCAGAATAAGTGTGTGCTGTTGTAAGCCACTGCGTTTGGGGGCGGTTTGTGACGCATTAGCTAGCCGGAAGAGTGGGCATCCAAGATGGTAAGCACGGTATAACTCAAACACAGGACCTGCCCGTGGGATTAAATGAGCCATTTATCATGTAGTGAAAAAAGACACAGGAAATGAAGGCAAAAAGGTAGACGTGGTTCCAGTCCATCGCCCCTGCCCTCCTCTGTTAGTGTACCATCAGCTCTTTCCCTGCTAAGGTCCAGTGTGTCTGGCCAGGCCTAGATTTGGCCTCGGCAAACAAAGTTAGTGCAAACCAGTGAGTCCCAGAGACGGAAGGCAGTTGCTGTAGAATCTCAGCCGGTCATGGTTTGGGAGGTCAGCAGGCAGGGGATGGTCGCTGGTATCCTCAGAGCTTGCCCTTTAGGAGAGCAGCGTGGAGCAGCGCTTTCTCCCCAGGCCGGCAGGGACCTGGGCAGGTGGGGATGTGGCCGCTTCATCCCTCTCTCTGGCCTGGCCACAGCTGTTGGCAGTGTCCTGCAGGGAATGCCTCAGGGCTCTTGGGTGCACAGCACCTGCCACCAGGCACTGGCCCATCTGCCAGGGCTGCAGTGGCTGAGCAGGGCTGACATCAACCTGCTCTCCGAAGGAGCCTAGGGCCAGGCCTGGGTCTGTTCACAGAACAGGCCATGGGTCCTTTCCGCAGCTGGGCGGGGGCCGACTCTGAACCACCAGGGCTGGGCACCAGGACGCCGAGGCTCACGGGAAACAGCCCAAGAAGAGTTGTGTCCATAAATAACCAGGTCAGGGTCCAGCATGGTCAGTGTCCTCGGAGAACATGCTGTGAGAGGTCAGGATGGGTGGAGATCAGGAAGCCTTAGGACAGGGCAGTTTAACACATGGATAAAGTGCGGTCGAGATTGGGGATGGGAGGGATGGGAGGAATGGAGGAGGGGGATGTCCCAGGTCAGGGGAGCATGGAAGTGAGGGGACCGTCATCCGCACAGAGAGAGGCAGGAAACTGGTAGAGCAAATTCCTATGAAAACAATGCCGGGCATCGGGGCAGCCGACAGGTTGAAACAGCAGCCGGGATGGCTGGGGAGTCCTCGAAGGCAGACCTTCCCAATGCTGAGGGCCGTGGGACGTGCACGGCTGACCCACCTGTCCTTCCCCGGGTCCCACGCCTGCCCATAGGGAGGATCCTCAGGGCCCAAGTCCTCAAAGCCTTTAGAAGACACCGCACCGAGCCCAGCTCAGGGGGATACGGGGTGGGCCCAGATGGCACATGGTCTAGGAATTGTCACCCAGCTCCCACCTGCTGCCCCGCCCACCTTTTATGGATTCTGACTTCACAGGACACTGTCCCCAGGGACCCCCGTGGTTCTCCCCTTCCAACCTCACCTCAGTTACCTTGTCCCAGGCACAGCCTGGATCATCTCAGGATGATCCTTGAGTCCAGCTGCTGCAGGTGTTCCTGGACGCCAAAAGGGATGGTGGGCGTCCACATCCTGTGATGGGGGCATGGCACACAGAGGTCAGAGGAGAGGGGGTGGTCCCCACGCAAGCTGCCCCCAAATCCCTCCTCCCACCTAGCCTAGTGTGGGGTCATGGGGATACCAGAGGCCTAGGAGCCCCAAGACCCCTTTTTAAAAACTGATTCTGCCACTGACTTGCTGTGTGATCTCAAAAAGTTTAGTTAACCTATCTGTGCCTTATTCTCCTCATCTGCAAAATGGGTCTTACAAGAGCCACCCTATCCCTCCTAGAAGATATGAGTGATTATGTAGACAAAAGTGCTTTGAAAGACAATCAAGTACAGTACTGGACAGTAGACATCATAGTGATGTAATAATAAATAAGTTTCAACCATATGAAATGGCCAGGTGTGTAGGTCAAAAATGGTTGAATATAAGCGATTTCATGTTGTTCAGCCTAGTATATAGAACATTTTTGTGTACCAGACACTCTTCTGAGTATATTGACACATTTAAACCCCACAATTTAAATATAAATATTTAAATAGGGGGTAAATATTATTGTCACTCCCATTTTACAGACGAAGAAACTGAGGCCAGGGACTTCCCTGTGGTCCAGTGGTTAGGACTTGGTGCTCTCACTGCTGAGGGCCCAGGTTCAATCCCTGGTCCGGGAACTAAGATACCGCAAGCCATGCAGCGTTGCCAAAAGAAAGAAAAAAAAAAAAGAAGAAAAGAAACTAGGTCCAGAGGGTTGATGTGTCTGCTTGCCCAAGGTTGAACGCTGGTGAGGGACAGAGTGGGATTTGGGCTCAGGGCTCACAAGGTGAACCACACACTGACTCTCCCTCCACCACTGCTGAGACTTACGCCAGCTTCTCCACGTGAGGGCACTTTCTCAGGCTGGCAGTGAGCTGCTGGGCCCCGGCAGCTGTGAACTTGTTGTACTGGACACTGGGAAGAGAAACCCATTGTGGATCCTGGCCCTGGGGACCAATAAGCCCCAGACCAAGGTCATCACCACGCTCTCGACAACCAGACCTCAGCCCAGCCCTTCCCATGATGCCAGCAGGAGACCCTGGTCCTCCCAAGTCCTGGCCCCACCCCCACTGCCCAGGTTCCCACACTCACTCCAGCACCCGGAGGGACACCATGTCTGGAAGCACGTGTGCCAGGCTCTCAGCTCCCACATCGCAGATGCAGTTATTGTACAAGCTGCCGGAGAAAGAGGTCAG